TTAAAAAAATGAATTTTGTAAAGTTCTCTAATTTAGATTAAGCTTTTGCAATGCATATAAAAGTAACATTTTCTAGAATTCATAAAGTCAAACTTTACAGTTCAACCTCAAAGCTTTCCCTCTACTGGCAAAGTGATGAGATAAGCTAATTAAAACTACCTAATTGAGTATTTGGCCTTGTGAATCATTTTTTATAAAACAGGTAGTTTGAATGCAAAAGTCCTGATAATTGCCTCTGTCCTCTAGCTGCTGTGTGTAAACGCTCCCTCTGCTCAAAACCATAATCTTGATGTAAGACAGAAATGTTAAAGACTTTTAAGAGTTGTGTATGCTGGGTGGTAAATTTATTAGCAAACATTTTTTTTTACTAGGAACTTGAACCCCACAAAATATATCCATCCTATACATAACTGACTGGAAGTTTTTATTTTTTATCCTAAGATACTTTGGAAAATGTGATGGTTAAGCTTTTACTAGATTCAAAAGTTCATTTTGTTTTCTTTTTATTTTTTAAAAATGTAATATAGTTAATTTGTATCCTGCGGTTTGGAAAATTACATTTCAATTATTTTCTATGTTTTAAATCCCCAAATTAATGGTTTATTTTATAATACAGTTTCAGCATGGATTGGTCTCACTACATACAAGTCTAAGGCCTTCCTCTAATCAGAGCCTTTTTCAACATTTCTCTTTGAAACAAAGACGGAAATACCAAAAAAGAATCAAATCTATCCGAGATGTGTTGGTAAATATATTGAAGTATTTTTAACATATAGTCTTTATATACTAAGGACTTGATCTATATTAATCTTTAGAGAAAATGGCACAGCATTAGAAGTGTGGAAATTTTCACCCAGCCGGTGTGGCTCAGTGGTTGAGAGTTGATCCATGAACCAGGAGATCTTGGTTTGATTCCCGGGTTTCGGGCTTGATCCCCAGTAGGAGGTATGTAGGAGGCAGCCGATCAATGGCTCTCTCTCATCACTGATGTTTCTATCTCCCTCTCCCTTACTCTCTCTGAAATCAATGAAAAATATATTTAAAATAAAAAAAATAAGAGTGGAAATTTTGAAAAATCATTATTTTGAAATTTAGGTTACAATAATGTTGTTGAAGAAAAATGGTATAACTACCCACTATCTTAAACACTAACAAGAAATAGTTTTATTATAGACCAAAAGCTATAAAATTGGATAAGCCAATGAATGACATTTTTAGAAAATGCTTAAAGTTTTCCTATGTCAGATCTTCCAAAACATTTTACTAGCAAAAACAACTTCATAAAGACAAAGATTTCATTATAATTTGAAAGCTCTTTGTAGTTTAAGAGGATTGGAATACTCAGCTGAGTCCTTAATCTAAAGCTTAGCATCTTGCCCTGGCCGGTTTGGCTCAGTGGGCAGATCCTTGGCCCTCAGACCGAAGGGTCCTGGATTCGATTCCGGCCAAGGGCACGTACCTGGGCTGCAGGCTCGATCCCCGGCCCTGGTGGGGGTGCATGTGGGAGGCAGCCAGTCCATGTGTCCCTCTCACATCAATGGCCCCCCCCCTTCGCTCTCTTTAAAAGCAATGAAAAAATTATCCTCAGGTAAGGATTAAAAATAAAAAAAAAAGCTTAGCATCTCTGTTGAAGTAGAACGACAACTTAAATCTAGTATATCTATCCTCTATGAAGTTTTTTTTAAAAATGAGGACTCTACATTATTTAATAAATTATGTATTTTACCCTAAAACGTTATTCAACATGCATTATTACAAAGTCACAATTCAAGAGCAATGTTATGTATTTTATATTACAATTTTAATCCTAATGTGTAAATCACATTAAAAAAGATTGAGGCACTGTGGTTCAGAAGAATCTGTATTTCTTCATTTCTTTAGATAAAAAAGTCATCTGAATTAAAAATCTTCTGATTATCAACCATTTGAATATATGATTTCACTTATTTGTTGTTCTTTTATGCTGAATTAAAGATGATGCAAATTGGTCTTTGGGGCAGCGGCTAAATGATGTGATTTGGGGGAAGAAAAGAAATGATGATTTTCATAAAAATTCTTCAATCGTTCCATAGAGGTAAATGTACTTAAATGCTAAATACCTGACCTTTTTGAATAAATGCCGACCTACCTTGATTTCCACAATAAGCCTCTATTAATTTCCATGAGACAATGTTTCCACAAACGTAAGGCAAAACAGATGTTAAATTACTTAACAGAACTCATAATTTAAATAATTAAAACTAATTTGTGTTTAAAGCTATTTGCAGATTTATTAGAGAAACAAATACAAATATGCATTTCTACAGAACTGTTTTTTGTTTTTTTTTCCAAAACGAGCTTAAAACTTGTTCCACAGTTTTTACTTGTTTATATATCTACGGTAACCCAAGTATTGGCTTCTGTACCACTTGTAATGAGACAATTGCCCTTCCATTGCAATTATAAAAAACTATTTAAAAAAAAATTCGGCACATACACGTTAAATAGTTTTCCTTAAAAAAATAATCTAATCAAAATATTGAATACTTTAGATTTAAACAATATTTTATTTACAAATCTGATTTGATGTACTTTATTAATTACACAAGGTAATGCTTCAAATTTCAAAAACAGTTTGTTTGCTTTTTAATATAGACCAGTGGAATGACATCCTATCTAGTAATATGTACTACACTTCAATTTTTTTCAAAATTAACATGACAAGTTTTCTTTAATTCATTTTTAAAAATGTTATTTAATTGGGGCACATATCTGATGAAACAAAAAAATAACATGCAGAATTCCAAAAATAATCTTTTAAAGTAATATGATACTTACCCTTTATGTAATAAGACATCTATGAACAACAGTGCATAACAATATCATGTATTTATGTTTATGAGAAACCAAGCAGGAGGCAAAATGAGTTCATCCTGTTTTCTAATCATGTGCAATTTCATATGGCTGTTTGCATCATTTCAATAAAATGTGTACATTAAATTTATAAGACTGCATTGCACTCAAAATTATTATGGATTGCCATGCTTGTCCTGTATTTAATGAGTGATGAATTTCTCCTACTAACAGAGTAACTGGTCT